CCACCCAGCACAGCGTCTCATCGCCCATAGGGAGCTCCACCGGAGGCCCCAGTTGCAGGGTCAGCATGCGTCTCCCCCACCCAGCACAGCGTTTCGTGGACCACATGGAGCTCCACCGCAGGTCCCGGTGGCAGGGTTCACATGTGTCTCCCCCGCCAAAGGGAGCTCCTTCGAAGGCCCCAGTGGCAAGGTCCACATGCGCATCCCCCACCCAGTCGAGCGTTCGTAGCCCATAGGGAGCTCCACCGAAGGCCCCAGTGGCCAGATCCACACGCGTCTCCCCCACCCAGTACAGCGCTCCCAGCCCTCCTCCACATGGAGACCGAGCTGCGGCCCCAACGGGACGTGGTTTCAGATTATTGTTGGATGATGGACGGCCCACCCCTCACGCATTCACCCTCCCCCTTCCCACCACCCCAGTGGTGCGCCTGCAAACAAACCGCCACTGAGCCGAGAAAGGCCTGCTCCCCATTTAGGCCACGCACGGCCCAGCGGATGCGTCCGCACAGCGCCAACGGGCCCATATTTCCACGTCCTTTGAACATGTTGTCACCCCCTCACAGGGAAACCATACTTGAAGCCGAACGTGCCTAATCCTCACTCGTGCAATGTTTCCCGCACTCGGGTCCGAGTGGGGAGGTCTGCATATCCACTGAGCTCCCCCCTTGGGAGTTCCAGCTTATGCCCAAGCGGGGCAAGACTTGTTTACCCGCTGGCAAAGTAGGATTTTTATTTGTGTGTTGCTCATTTGGGGTTTACTGGTAGCATTCGAGGGAAGCGCGGATGTGATAAGGGGGCTAATTGGACGCAAACGAGCGGTCTGACCGCCATCTTGGGGCACGCGTGGAAATATGTCACCAGGTCTAGAATGCAGCAGTATAGACTGTGGACGCGTCATGACCGGTAAAGCCATGCTTGTGAGCGAAGCGGCACGAATTGGCCATGCATCGGAGTACCCAACCACCCCGAGCAGCGCGCGAGAAGTTCCAGAAGGAGGATCCAGTCCCATGCGCATGAGGGAACGCAACGATATTTTATTTGTTTGAAGTCAGCGGGCGCAAGCGAGTCTAGGCAGGTGCAGGCGCTGGTCGTGCTGCGGGGGGGGGACACGGCGGGAGCGAACCGGGGCACAGAAAGCGGAAGGAGACGCGGGATGGGCGAGCAGAAGCACGAACCGTTCGGAGCGTGGAGTCTTCCTCGGGCGTGCCGAGGGAGTGGAAGGCGCCGAGGCGCAGCGATCTCCCACGCGTGTGGTCACAACGTGGCCTGGTGATCCGGAGGGGTGGGCGCGTTTCCCGCGACCCTTGTGCCCCCGATGGGGAGTCGAGAGGGAGGGCGAGGAGCACGGGAGAGGGAGCAGGAGCACAGGGGGAAGGAGGAGGGAGGAGGGAGGGCGAGGAAGAGGAGGAGGAGGAGGAGGAGGAAGGAGGAGGAGGAGCAGGAGGAGGGGAGGAGGAGGAGGAGGAGGGAGGAGGAGGAGGAGAGAGGAGGAGGAGGAGGGGAGGAGGAGGAGGAGGAGGGGAGGGGGAAGACGAGGAGGATGGGGAGGAGGGAGGCGAGGAGGGTCGATGGTGTCGAATACACGTAGGAACGCGCACGACAAAGGCAGCACAGAGCCCCCGCTGCTGCGGATGAGAGTGCGAGGGGGCGGGCATCGTCGGCGCCTTCGAGGCTCGGGGGCAGACCTGAAGAAGCCAGCCGCAGGCGCCGACCTGTTCACCACGCGGGAGGCTCTGCGCAGGCGCCGTTTTTCAAAGCAGCGGTGAGTCGGTCGTGGACGGGTTGCATGCTCTGAGTGCGGTCTCTCCTCCTCCTCCTCCTCCTCCTCCTCCTCCTCCTCCTCCTCCTCCTCCTCCTCCTCCTCCTCCCCCTCCTCTCCTCCTCCTCCTCCTCCTCCTCTCTATTCCTCCTCCTCGTCCCTCCTCCTCCTCCTCCTCCTCCTCCTCCTCCTCCTCCTCCTCCTCCTCCTCCTCCTCCTCCCGGGCTCCCCGCCCGCCTGCTGTAGCCCAGGCTCTCGCCCCCCCGGGCCTCGATTCGTTTCCACTGCGCCCAACTTGTTCCTGGCCGCTTCTTGGAGGCAAGCCGCCGCCGACAAAAAAAGAGCGGCTCGCGCACGCACCCCGGGACAGTGTGAGACCGTTCGGCCCCCCTCACTCGGGTGTTGACGTGCGGTCGTGTCCTGATGTCGTGCGTGATGGTCATGTGGCCCGCCGATGTCATCTGCCGCGAAGGTATCGCGAGGCAGGCGTGCAGGAAGAACTGCACACGCAAAAGGTTCGCACGCGTGTGCGCGTTGGCGGCGTGTGGCACGGGCAGAGGCGGGACCTGCAGAAGCACCGTTTTGGCGCTGTGGGCCCATTGTGCTCTCCAGAGGTGGGCGAGAGGACCAGGTTCGTGCAGCCTCCCAGCTGGAACTACCTCGAGGGCAAGAAGGCGTATGCTGGACATCCGGATTCGAACATTACGGAGGAGATTGCAGACCCACGTTTTTCTCGATTCGGCGCGCGTCAGGTGCATGTTGATTATTACCCGAATAACCCTTCATGCCCAACGCAGGGCACAGTCGTTCCGCATATGTACGCAGCGTGTTGGATTATCAGGGACTGGGGGCTTGCCGCCACATCGCAAGTCTGGGGTCGTTTGTGGCTGAACGCATGCGAGTTGCCTCAAATTGCCGCTGCTGTCTCGGAGCTCAGGGGTCGGCATGATTGAAACCACACATGACATCGGAGTGTCGTTGCATGTTCCTCCTGCTGCAGCATGGTTGCATATCTCTTCACATGGCATATCCTCACTGCTCATATTCCTATTCAGTCTCGTCCCCCACTTCCTCATCCAGAGCCATTCTCGTTCAGGCCTGCTTTCGATGGATTCGCGCGGCGACTCTGCCTGCACGGCGTCCTTTTGCAGATGCCGCTTCCCCTGCGCCCCTCTCCGCCGTGGTGGCGCTGCGCGCCCCGCACGGCGTCGGTGTGTCTCTCACCGCCGGCGCGGTGACGGCGACTCTCCCCTTGGCGGCACGCTCTGGCCCTCGCCGCAAGGTTTGGTGCCCGCGCGCCCTCGCGGGGCGAGACCGCCTCGCGCGCCCGGAGCCCGGCGACAGCGGGCCTCCACTCAGCCACGCGCAGAGGGGTGTGGGGGGAGGGGAGAGGGCTTCTTATAGAAGCACCCCTGCTTCTTTAGAAGGCGCTGGCCTCATCTACAGATGTGAGGCCAGCGCCCTCTAAGAAGCAGCCTGCTTCTAAGAAGCCCTCCCCCCTCCCCCCACCCCCGTGTGCTCGCCGCCCATCCACCTGGGCCGGCCCCCGGCCTCGCCCCGGGGCCGCGGCACCCCGATGGCGCGGGCGAGCCTCCGAGCCCGGCCCGCGGGCGCCCTGCGCGGCGCGGCGCCTGCGCTGGTGGCCATCTCCCCGCGGCGGAGGTGCGGAGGTGCATCGGGGCGGCAGGTGCAGCGCTGTCGACCCCGATAGTGCGAGCAGTGGCGAAGCGTCCCGGCTCGCCTAGAGGCCCACCAGAGACTGTCCTAAGAACTGTGTGTGGTTTGTGCGAAATGTTTTTTAAAACACTTCTGGCTGGGTCTGTCCTGTTTTCACACATCGATTCTACGTATGTTCTAAGAACATTGTTTCTGTTATTAGAACATTCGTCGGTTCTAAGAACATGTTGTGGTAGGCCTATAGGAATACCGGGACGGTAGGCCCCTGTTCAAATAGTAGTAAGGATGAGCGGTTATCCAAGGGTTACCTTTGCTTCCTCGATTCTTTGCTCGTCTTCGGCTCATCCTCAGCCACTTCTCGATGGCCGGCCCCGCCCCCAAGAGCCTCGGCATGGGCGTCCAAGGCCCTTGCACCCTTGCCGCGCAGCCTTATACTGCATGGATCGGCTGTAGGCAGCGATCAGCGGTCCGATACGTGCCGTGGGCCCCGCAAGCTAGAGGAAAAGCGGGTGGCCGCTCGGACTCCGCTTGAGGGCTTGGCGCCCTGTGCTGCCTCGGCTCGCCCGCGCGCCTCACGCGCGCTGGCTGCAGGCCCCCGTCTGCGTGAAGGCGGCCAGGGGCTGGCGGGGTTGCGAGGCGGAATGGTCGGCGCCCGTTGGCGCTGGGGCCACGGACGGGCGACCCTCGCGGCGATCCAACAGCAAAAAACACGGGCAGTTTCGTGAAGGACCGCGCAGTGCGGCCACGCACCGTCGATCCAGGCGGCGGCCCCCGCGTCGAGGGCTGGCATCCATGGCGAGAGCCGTGGGGCATCGAGCGCGCCTGGGAACTGTGGGGCGTGGCCGCTGTGGACGCCGTGGTGTAGTTGTGGCCGTGCACGTTTACAGACGCCCGCATTTCGGCCTCTCAGGGGGGTCCTGCTGTCCGCTCCCATCTTCTCCCTCCAAAAGCCACGCGTGGCATGGCAAGGGACGTTCGAGACGGAGGCGCGCTCCCAGGCTGGACGCGGTCTCTGCTGCGGCGTGGCCGCACGCAGTATGCACCGTCGGTGCTCGAGAGCACCTGTGGGAGGTTGGCCAGCGCTGCTCGCCCGATGTACTGGAGGTGGCAGATTCGGTGCTGGAGTGTTTTGCAATAGAGGAGGAGGAGGAGGAGGAGGAGGAGGAGGAGGAGGAGGAGGAGGAGGAGGGAGGAGGAGGAGGCGGAGGAGGAGGAGGAGGAGGAGGAGGAGGCGGCGGAGGAGGAGGAGGAGGAGGAGGAGGACGAGGATGAGGAGCACGACGAGGAGGGAGGAGGAGGAGGAGGAGGAGGAGGAGGAGGAGGAGGAGGAGGAGGAGGAGGAGGAGGAGAGTGCCTCGGGGAGGGCCCCCGCAGGCGGTGGCTCGAGCGCGCGTCCGCTCTCTGGGCTCTTCGCTCGTGGGCGGCCATTCGGCTGCCCTGCCTGGCGCCCTCGCAGGGCGGGAGAAAGAAGAGTGGTGAGGCCTCGGAGCACGAGATCGATGAGATCCTCCTCCTCCTCCTCCTCCTCCTCCTCCGAGATCGGAGCATCGGATGCCACGGGAGCATGAAGGATCGGATACCCCGCCCCGCGGGCGGGCTGGTCGCGCAGACAGCGTCAGCAAAACGGCGAAGTAATCCCGCCTAGAGCGCGGGCCGGGACGCGGCGGTGGAGAGGACGCACCGGGCGCTTCCGCAGGGAGTTCGACCGGGCTGACCGCGCGGGGCACGGCAGGCGGGTCGTCGAAGTGGAGTCGTGGGACGCCTACCCTGCGCGCACTCGGGTGGCGCGGGGTTCGCGCTGCGGAAGGCCGCGGCGACCCGCTCTGCGCGTGAGTCGGGTTCTGACAAGGGGCGGTGGGGCGGTGAGAGGCATAAGATCCTCGCCGAGTGCGTGGGTCCGTTGGCTGTCGCGGGCGCCCCGTCGGGCAACGAGCTGGGCGATTGCAGCGGAGATGCGATGAGGACGTGCTGGACAAGAAGGTTGCGGCGCTGGACGCATTGCTGCAGCAAGCGTTGCCAGGCGACAGAGTGGGTGGTGAAATCCAAGCACACGGGCCGATGATCGACAAAATGTGGCCTAGCGGGGGCGCTACCCAAGTTCGAGCAGGAAAACTCACAACCTGGAGGGGAGGCGGCACCAGTTCGAGGAGTGCTCGAGGGAGCGGTCCGCTGAGTTGTGCGAGAAGCTGGCGGCGCACCTCCGGGCCTTCCAGGCGCGGGTGGCGACGCAGGATGGGGGGGTCCAGAGGACTGCGGGGAGCACCCTCGGAGCGGAGCTTGCTCGTGGAGCTGGCCACGCGGCGGCGCGGGAGGCCAAGGCCGTGACGCTGGCGCGCGGGCGCGCGGCTGCCAAGGCGAGGCGGGTAGGCGCCGAGCTCGCGGGGGAAGGGAAGGTGCGAGGCTGCCTGCGGACTGTCGTCTGGTCGCCGCGATCAGATGCGTGAAGAAAAACCCGCTTTCAGATCAGAGTTTGATCTTTCTTCGCGTGTGTAAAAATTCGCTTCCAGGGTAGGCGATTGAGGTCGGCACGGGTGACAAACATGTGCTACGCCTTCTGTGCCTACACCTTTCTTAATCGTCCGGACCTGGATATTGTCTTGGGCTGAAGTTGTCTTGATATTACCTTCCGGTGTATATCCTTCCCTAGGTGGGTAAGTCGGCCAGTGGGGCCAAGCCCACGCCAGTGAGGATAGGGATCGGCTCAACGATGTGCAGTGCCTCCCCGCGGGAGACACCTCCCGCAATCACTGCGAGGAGGTGTTTGGGCGTGCCCTCTCGGGCCTCCCAGGCGGCACGGCCGCGTACTCTAGGTTTTGCCTGGACATTGATCCTGGAATCTGGAGGCGGGGTGGAGAGCTGGCAGGGTCGGGGGAGTGACAGCAGGGCGCGGGGCGGAGGCTCCGGAGGAATACGGAGTGGATGAGGGAAACGAGAAGGCGGGGAGCAAGAAGGGGATTCATAGCACAACGGGGGAGCAGAGAAGTAGGAGGAGGAGGAGGAGGAGGAGGAGGAGGAGGAGGAGGAGGAGGAGGAGGAGGAGCGGCAGCAGCAGCAGGATGATCAGCATCAGCAGGAGCAAGGCGAATGCAATGCTGAGCCGGGCGCGCGCCGTCTCCTCCTCCCCCTCGCAGTCACAGCCAAGATGCTTCGGGCTAGCTTCTCCTTCAAGTACAGCTGGCTTACTTTGACGACAGCACTGAAAGAGCGCCTCAAGATCCCCGCGGGCACCACGACTTATTACAACCTGGAGCTGCTCATCATCAACAATCCGTGAGGACGGGCGTCCCTGCCTCTTTTGCGCTCGTGTCTTAAGTCAGACCTGTCCCTCTACAGGAGGAATATTGAAAAGTAGACAAATAGTCGGGTGACTATTTCGGGAGCATGTTTTGACCATGTTGTGGTATTTCTCGACTTTGTAAACATTTGTCGCCCGAAATCCCCCTGTACGGGCCCGACTCAACTCGTGCCCGTTATCCTGGCTTGTTTCGGGTGCGTTGGACCGTTGGCGGACGTGTCCGCCATGCTCCTGCCTTCCTCGGAGTGCACCCAGCTCCTCGATGCGGAGGACGAGGCGGAAGACGAGGAGGAGGAGGAGAAGGTAGGAGGAGGAGGAGGGGGAGGAGGAAGAGAGGAGGAGGAGGAAGAGGAGGAGGAGGAGGAGGATTTCCAGGATTTCCGCCTTCACGTAGTGAAAGCAAGGCAACTACACTAAGGCCACTCCCTGAGCATACCCGCGAACGAGACGACCCAGTACAGGAACCTCAGCAGAAGGTACATGAAGAACCCGACAACGAAGTCTATGGAGCGCAAAGCGTTGTCACATAGCGAATCCCTCCAAATTCGAATGGCACCCCAACAAACGAAGCATAACAAGCTAAACTGAAACGGACTTGGCTCGATTCGGCCCTCTCCGCAGGTCAACGGGCTACCTCTCACGCATATCATAAAGATCGCCTCCTCCGCAGACAGCCTCGCAAGATAGCAACGCAGCCAAAAATACCACCCAAACTGTTCATTCCTTCCAGCCGAGCCTTCTGCACCAACTTGAAAAATGCACGAAGACAGCGAACCATAACCACACAAAGCAACTGAAATACCCTCCCCTGGCGGAGATGGGAGATCCCAGCGTTGTAGCTGATGAAGTCTGGCTCACGCTTGACGCACGAGAAATGGAGGCCCCAACACCAGAAACCGAAAGACATACCCTCCCCTGGCGGAGCTGGGAGATGCCCAAACGATAGCTGACGAAATGAGCCCAGACTGAAACATTCCAAAGCCACACCACATGCCGCCCAAGCTGGAGAAGCGACACCACGCGAAACCCGTAGTGATACCCACCAGCTTGTTTGGCCAGTGCCAAAGCCCCGGAATAATAAAACTTGAAATCGCGAATTCGCTCCCCTTCGTCACCAGGAGAGGCTGGACGATACCGTTGTGAGCAAACCACTCCCAACACGGTCCAGATTCCCTGATGTCCCCCAAGCGCCGACGTGAAGGCGGGAAGCTGGGTGGCTAGCGCGAGCGAGTAGGAGCCAAAAGATGGTACCACGCGCCCCGCCCACCTGTGCTTGAGAGGAGGAGGAGGAGGAGGAGGAGGAGGAGGAGGAGGAGGAGGAGGAGGAGGAGGAGGAGGAGGAGAAGGGAGGAGAGAGAGGAGGAGGAGGAGAGAGAGGAGGAGGAGGAGGAGGAGGAGGAGGAGGAGGAGGAGGAGGGAGGAGGAGGAGGAGGAGAGAGGAGGAGGAGGAGGTGGAGGAGGAGGAGGAGGAGGAGGAGGAGGAGGAGGGAGGAGGAGGAGGAGGAGGGAAGGGTTGGGACTTCTGGGGGCCTCGCGTCGGATGTCTGGGCAGGTGACCTCTGGCACTCGCCAGCCGTCTTAGGCAACCTTCGACTCCCGGCCCAGATCCCCGCCCCGCCGCCCCACCCGCAGGATGCCAGCCCGGCGCGGGGGCCTGTCTGCGGCCACTGGGCGCGCGCGCACGCGCGCTGCGGCCTGGCCGCGCCCTCTGGTGCGCCGGACGAGAAACAGCGGCGGCATGGGAGAGCCTGTCCATGGGGGGCAGCGATAGGGGGGGCATAGGCGCAGGGGGGATGCATGGACCCCCAATTGCCCGTGCATCGCCGATAGGTGCCCGATGGCCCGCCCCGCCCAGGAGCTCTTGGCCCGGCCGTTGCAGAACCATGAGCGCAGACGCGTCGGAAGTTGCTGATGTTCCCAGACATACGATGTCTTGATTTGTTTTTACGGAGTCCCCGGAAGTCCCGACCCCTTCCCCAAGGCCAGTTTTTCATCCCGAATCGATCTTCGACGGACCCGGGGCCCAGCGAGGGCCCCTGGAGGCCGAAAATGTCCGAAGGCGTCCCGCCGTGATTTCTTCACGACGCGAGCATGTCTGAGGATCTGTGCACTGTCTACACAAGTGCATGCCGAGCAAGGGGACGACGGCCGCGCCCGAGTCGCCGCCAGGCGGGGGGCCGCGCGGCAGCACGCACGGCAGCACGCGCCGCGCGCCGGGGCATCCGATGTTGTGCTCCAGGGCCGCCTGCCGCCGGGCCCTCGCGGTCCGGGCGCGCGCCCAGGGGCGCGGGTTCGCTGGCGGAGGGCAGGCGGAGACGGTGCCTTGGGCCCCAGAAGCCAGGAGCACGATGACGACGCCGCCGCCACTGCAGCCGACGACGACGACGACGACGACGACGACGACGACGACGACGACGACGACGACGACGACGACGGCGGCGCCGCCACCGCAGCCGACGACAACGACGACGACGACGACGACGACGCCACCGCAGCCGACGACGACGACGACGACGACAATGTCGCCGCCACCGCAGCCGACGACGACGAGGACGACGACGACGACGACGACGACGACGACGACGACGACGACGACGACGGCGACGGCGACGACGACGACGACGACGACGACGACGACGACGACGACGACGACGACGACGACGACGACGAAACGGCGGCGGCGACGACGACGACGGCTGCGGCGCGGCAGGGACAACGACGACGACGACGACGACGACAATGTCGCCGCCACGCACGACAACGACGACGACGACGACGACGACGACGGCGGCGGCGGCGGCGGCAAACGACGACCACGGACGACGACGACGACGACGACGACGACGACGACGACGACGACGACGACGACGACGACGACGACGACGACGACGACGACGACGACGACGACGACGACGACGACGACGACGACGACGACGCGACGACGACGACGACGACGACGACGACGACGACGACGACGACGACGACGACGACGACGACGACGACGACGACGGCGGCGTCGGCGGCGGCGGCGGCGGCGACGACGACGACGGCTGCGGCGGCGGCAGGGACAACGACGACGACGACGACGACGACAATGTCGCCGCCACCGCAGACGACGACGACGACGACGACGACGACGACGACGAGGACGACGACGACGACGACGACGACGACGACGACGACGACGACGACGACGACGACGACGACGACGACGGCGGCGGCGGCGGCGGCGGCGGCGGCGGCGGCGGCGGCGATGGCGGCGACATTGCGACGGCGACGGCGATGGCGACGGACGGCTGCTTACCGAGCACAGATGCTCTGGCCTGACATACGGTCAGATACTTTGGATTAGCCTGTCGTGCCGCGGGATCTTGCCCACCACGCGTCGGCGCGACAGGCTCTCCACGTCCCAGCATCCAGGCGTTAAAGTCCTGTGGCTTTCTCAGCATCCCGCTCGGCGAAGCGGAGCGAAACGCTATCAGCTCGCAGGGCACAGCGTGTAGCTGGGGCCGCCGCCGCGACATGCTAAACAAAAGTTCCTGACCGCAGCGTCGCAACACCGCTTGACGGTTGCACGCCAGGCTTCGGCGGATATTCAAGTTGTTCTGCCAGGATTGCGTTGGGCCCCGTGATGTCGGTGATGTTGATGTTGAAGCCAGGGCGTCGCCTTCCAGGACCATGCAAGATCTGGCCGGCGAAAACGGACAACGGAGAACGCCCCGGCTCACGGCTGCAGTGTTCCAGGGCGTGCCAGAGCCCCAGTTTTTTCGGGGGGCCCCAAGCAGGGTTTCGGGGTGGAGGCCACACCGCGTGGTGAGTCAGCGGGGATTCGGGGTCACCGCACGGTTTTGAGACTCGGGTCGTTCTCCGGGGATGTCTCGGGCGACCGGGGCCTCCGAGGTCGTAAGACCGTGCGGCAACGGACCATGCGGTGAGGCCTCTTGGGAGTTCGAGGCCACGACACGATCTTGGGGACTCCGGGTCCATCAAAGTCCCCGTTGACGGGCCCTTTCAGGTGCCGCAGTTCTGGCGGGAATACAAGGACCTGGAGGCCAAGCGTCGCCGGAGGCAGCCCGCCGCTGGGGAGAAGAGGAGGCACGACCCGCGGGCGGCCGCCGAGGAGCGAAGGAGGGAAAGCATGATGGGCAAGCACAAAAGTTTTCGGAGGCCCGCGCTGATGTCGTGGATCGGTGCAGGGCCTCCCCCGCCGTTGCGGTGGCGCGGGGCCTGGCGCCGATCCTCGGAGCCCGCGCCCGTCTCCGAGGGACTGCGGCCGTGTCGTTACTCGCTCGGCATCGTCTGGCCGATCCCCATCCCCCACTGGGTCATGGCCTCTCGGCCCCACCGTGCTGTCCGCCCCGCGGGGAGAAGTCCCAAGAGATCCTGAAGAAAAAAGCAGCACATGTCCACCCACCTCGGGGGGGGCAAGTCAAGCAGCGGGGCCAGTGCCACGCCAGCGGGGACGGGGATCGGTCAAACGATGCCCACTGAGTTCCCCTGAGATCTGACGTTGCGAAAAAATCGCGGCAACACAACAAAAAACACGACCGGGGCCCTGGACCTGATCTCTCCATGCCATGTGTCAGGGCGGATCGATCCATGATGGTCCCATGGCCCGTAGACCAGGCGAAAACGCGCAGTGTTAAAAATGTTGCAACCCCAGGATCTCAAACATCCAGCGTCTCGACCACTCCCTCGGGACCGGCATTCCATTCCAAGTCGTCCTTTGACGGCCCCGAGGTCTTGTGAGGGCCTCGAGAGGCCGAAAACTATGAAAAACCTCCGTCTCTATTGTCTCGAGACGCCTGGCGTTTGGGATCTCAGGGCCCCCTTGGAGGAGGAGCCCCCCCTGTTCGGAGGGCGCCAGGACCTGGACGAGCTGCTTCGCGGGCAGGAAGCCAAGGAGCGGCACTCCCCCGCCCTCGTCGTCGTCCTCCTCCCCCTCCCCCTCCTCCTCCTCCTCCTCCTCCTCCTCCTCCTCCTCCTCCTCCTCCTCCTCCTCCTCCTCCTCCTCCTCCTCGTCTTCCTCCTCCTCCTCGTCTTCCTCCCCCTCGTCTTCCTCCTCCTCGTCGTCCTCGTCCTCGTCGTCCTCCCCCTCGTCGTCCTCGTCGTCCTCCTCGTCCTCGTCCTCGTCCTCCTCGTCCTCCTCCTCGTCTTCGTCGCCGGCCTCGTCCTCGCCGGCGCCGCAGGAGCGGCACTCCGCGGGGCAGGACCGGCACGGGGAGGCCCGCGGCGGCCGCGGCCCGCGGGTGCGGGTCTCCCGCGCGGGGCCCAGGAAGCAGCCGGCGGGCGCGGGGCCAGAGCCCGAGGACGACCTGGAGGCCTCGAGGGAGAACGGTCGGCACGCACGGTATTGAGCCGGGCCTGTCCCTCTACAGGAGGAGCACGGAGGAATAGTATTTACAAAAATCTGGGGACGTTTTTGTTTGTGATACTATGTTTGCGTATTCGGGAAGTTTGTATATATATATATATATATATGTAGATACATGGTTATACATATATATTATCTGTCATATATATACACATACATACATATATACATACATACATACATACATACATACATACATGCATGCATGCATGCATGCATGCATGCATACATACATACATACACACATACATATATACACTTAATACATATATATATAATAAAAAAACAAGCAAAAAAAACAAAAAAAACAAAAAAAAAAAAAAAAAAAGAAAAAAAAAAAAGTCCAAACCCCTGCCTGTAGGAGGACACGCCCGACCTGAGCATGGTGCCCAGACCCCCTCGGGTCATGAAAAATCACGGCGGCAAGTCTTCCTGGGCCCTCAACCCAGGCCTCGGGGCCGTCCTAAGACGACTCGGGATCGAGAAGCGGCCCCGGGAGAATAAGTCGGGACCTAAGTCGGGACCTAAGTCGGGCCTGTCCCTCTACAGAGGGAATATTCCAAAATTGCAATAAAAAATAGTTTGGGGACGATGCTTTGATATTTGTTGTTGCTCATTTGGGGGACTTCTCTGACTATTTTCCATTTTTCGCCCAAGGTCCCCCTGCAGGAGGACACGCCCGACCTGAGTCGAGACCTCTGGGGGCCGACGTGAGGAAAAGAGCATGACGTCGGGGGTTTGGCTGAGGCTTCGCGCCGCGCACGGGCGGCCCCCCAGGTAGTCCCGGCGGGACTCGGCAGGCTGACCGGGAAGTCTCAGCTGGCCTCAACGGGCCCCCCGAGTACCAGGAGTGAAAAAACCGCACAGACGCAATCAATCATCGATTCCCCAGAAAAATATGGGAAGATATGATTGGGGAAGGCATAAACCCACAACAGCATGGGAGAATAGAGGGAATCCGGTCATTTGTGTCTCTTTGTTTGTGTGTGTCCCAGGGCCCCGTCGGAGTAGTCCGGGGCGGTCTCAACGCCCTTGCGTCGCCTCCGGCGGCGCCCTTGAGGCGCTCCGCACCCTATACGGTCGAGGTGCTGAGGCCATCCCAGCAGCTGGGACTATAGCTGCGGGGGGCGGTCTGTGCGCGCCTGGGCCCTCACTGAACGACCTGGGGTGAAAAGCCGGCCGGGGGAACGGGTCGGGATTGCGGGGGACCCCGCATCGATCGGGGGCGGCAAAGTGGGGGGTGTTGACCAGGGGGGTGGATCTCATGGCGTGGGCCATGATATTTCCCCAGATTTCATGGCGCCTCTTCTTATTTCATTACGTCCCTGGCCTCCCCGCTGGGCCGCGCACATGCCGCCGGTCATGATTTGCACCCCCCCTCTTGGACACCCCCCTCTTGGCCGCTCCCGAATTGAAAAAATCATGACTTCTTTTTGTGCGTAAGTCACCTCCGACGCGTCCCGCCGTCAATCGACTGCTTGCTGGAGCCAGCCAGCCAGCTCGCCGCAGGCCAAAAAAAGTGGGGGAAGATCTGAACGCGGTGGTCAATTCGCGGAGGTCCGCGCAGATTTCTCAGAGATCGGCGCCGGGCCCCCCCCCTTGCGGCGCCTCCAGAGAGGGCCCCCCTGGCGCGCACCGCGCGCCAGGGAGGCGGGGCGGCCAGCGCCGAGCCGTGAGATGCGCGCGGACCTCGGAGAGTTCATGTACCCAGACAGCCGATACCTTTTGCTCAGCAAGGACTCCTCGGAAGTCCTGGCCCTCTCCCGATGGTCGGGCCGAACGAAAGGAGGGGGACAGGGAAAGGGGGGGTTACGAAATCTGCTGCGTGCAGCTGGTTTCGGCCCCGCAGCCGGGCCCATGCCTCGATACATGGGCGCCTCCTGGCACCAGGAGGCGCTTGGAAAATCAGCTACGTGAGCTGATTCTTTACCCTACCCTTTGCTATCCCTCCCCCCTTTTGTCCCCCCCGGTGTAGGCCAGGTAGTTCACCCCGAGCCGTGCTTTGGCGAGCCTGGGGGCCCCGTGAGGGCCGCAGGAGGGGCGGCCGAGGGCGGCCAGCACCCTCCCGCCGTGATTTCTCCCACGACGCGGGCATGTTTGGGCATCACTACGTCCGCCGAGCTCCCTATCTGTAAGTCGGGCCAGCCCCTCTACAGGGGGAATATTCAAAAATAGTCAAAAGATAGTCTGAGGACTATTTTTTCATTATCTTACCATTTGGGGGATATGTTTGGCTATGTTTGATCTGTCCTCCAAAATCCCCCTGTGGGGGGGGACAGGCCCGACCTAATCCTATCTCTCTCTCCCTGTCTCTTTCCAAGGTCGGCATCCGGGAGGTGCAGCCCGACGCCCGCCAGGGCGGCGGCGACGCGCCGCTGCCGGCCATGCCCCCGGGCCCGCTCGGCCCCGCAGCGCAGCGGCTCCTGGCGTGCCGCAGCGCCGGGGCGCTGCTCGCGGAGTGGGAGGGCCTGGCGGCGGCGGAGCCCGAGGCCGAGGCCCCGCCCGGCGCGCAGCAGGCGGAGCTCGTGCTGGCGCTGCAGCTGCTGGGGCGGTGGGCGGGCCGGGCCGCAGAGCGCGGGCAGCTGCTGCGCGACGCGCGCCTCGCGCGGGCCCTGGAGGCCCTGCAGCGCGCCGTGCCGTGGCTGGAGCCCTGGGCGCTCGCGGGCGGCCTGTGGGGCTGCGCGGGGCTCGGAGGGGCGCGGGCCGCCGCCGAGTGCTCGCAGGCGCTGGTCCGCGCCGCGGCCGGGCGGCTGCCCGAGCTCGGGGCCGAGGAGGCGGGGCTGGCGCTGCGCGCCCTGGCGCGGGGCCGGCAGCTGCACCGCTCCAAGGACTCCCTGCAGCTGCGCGACGGGCTCGTGGCCGCGGTCATCCGGCAGGGCGAGGGCCTGGGGGCCCCCGGCGCCGCGGCGCTGGCGCCGGCCCTGGTGCAGCTGCGGGTCACGGAGCCGAAGCTGCTAGACGTCATCGCCAGGCGCGTGGGGCAGGACGGCCGCACCCTGCAGGTGCAGGACATGGCGGCCGCCTCTGCCAGCCTGGCGGCCCTGCGCGTGTTCCATCCCACCGTCACGGCGCAGGCCCTGAAGAGTGTCGAGGCGGGCGTCCACCTGTGCACGCCGCGGGGCGTGGTGCAGTTCTGCGTGGCGCTGTGGAACGCGGAGGACCCCGCCGCGTTCCGCGACTTCCTCCAGCCGGCGGCCAGATCCTTCATGATGGACTTCGGGGCGCGCGATCTGTGCACGGTGGCCGAGGCGTTCTGCAGGGCCCAGGTCTCCGACGCGGACTTCTTAGCGGACCTTGCGTTCAGCTTGACGCCGAAGATCGGCGACATGGGTGCCCACGAGGTGTCAGTCGCTCTCAACGTCTTCGCTCCGGTGGCATACACAACCCCCGAGTTGTTGCCTGGGGTGGCGGGGCGCGCGCGCACCCTGGTCGACGAGCTCTCACCGCGTCAGGTGGCGAGAACGCTGCGGGGGCTCGCGAAGTGTGGCTACGGCGACGCAGCCCTGTTCGCTGGGTTGCGCGAGCGTGCCGTGCAGTTGGCGCGCGTGCTCTATGGTACGCACGCCACCGACGCGCTCCTGGCGCTTGCTCAGGCTGGGCATTTGGACGGACCTTCTGTGAGCACGCTGCTCGGAGTCGTGGGCCGCAGCTTGGGCAGCATGACCCCAATCGACCATGTCGCGGTGCTCTACGCGGTGGCGCAGTTGCCACCAGATCTACAGATGAACGCCCCAGAAGGCCTTGTAGATGAGTTGCTGTTGGCACTCCGGCGAAAGCGCTTCGCAGAATGGCGGATGGACCCCGAAGCTTTGGTGCATTTGTTGCAGGCGCTTCGGGGCTTACGCATGCAGGACGAGGTGCTGCTGGACAGCCTCCTCGAGCGCTTGCCGCGCGTCCTGCGATACTCTGAGTGCAGCCAGTCGCTGCCGCTGCTAGTCCAGCTGGTGGACTGCTTGGGTGACCTCCCGTCGCCGAGCAGCTTGCAGGTCCGAATGCACCTACACCGCAGGCCGAAGCTTCTCGCTGCGCTCAAGGAGTGCCTCGGCGCGCACTTTAACAGGAAGCTGGACCTCGAAAGCGGGGTGGTGTTGGCGCGGGCTCTTGCCCGCACAGGATACGAAGACGCCCCGCTACAGGACTGGCTCGACCGCCTCATCCCAGAGGTCGAGGCGCGACTGGAGTTCCTGGACCCTTCGCTCGTCTGCGACCTGTGCTTCGCGCTCGCGGAGATGAACTGGAACCCCGCGTGGAACCTCAAGTGCGTGCGCCGCTTCGTCAGGAAGCGCTACCCCGACCGGGCCGTGTTCGGCGCGGCGGACGCCAGCGCGGCGGAGGCGGAAGAGGAGGACGACGAGCGGGAGGCGGAGGAGGCCGCTGGAGCGCCCACCATCGGCTCGTTGGCAGCCGGAGCTTGCTCCGGGCCTCTTCCGGGGGAGGCCCTGCTGCGGCTGGCCTGGGCACTCGTGGCCCTCAACGAGGAGCTGCCCGCGGCGCTGCTAGAGGAGCTCCACGCGGCGTTCGGGGGCTCGTTGCCGGAGGGCAGGTGCGGGACCGGGTTGCGGCTGTTGCAGGACGTTGCCCAGCACCACGGCCTGGCGAAGGGGGCGGCCGAGCGACTACCTGAACTGCCATCTGCTCAGGAGCAGGCGCCCGCGGAGGTGGTGGAGTGGTTGTCCCTGGCGCGAGAGGTGCCTCGCGGGGACCTCTTCGCCTCTCAGCAGCCGCCCAGGGCCCAGCGGCGGGAGCGGCGCCTGGCCATGCCGCACCACGCCTACCCGTACGAGCAGTGGCTCTCGGGTGCCTTGCGCAGCCTGCGGATCCCGCACGAGGCGGGCGCGCCCATCGGGCCGCACCGCGTCGCGGTGAAGTTCCGCCGGCAGCGGCACGCCATCGACGTCCTCGGGCTGGCGGACATCTCCGCGCCGTCGAGACGCACCCGCGGCGCTGCTGAGGTGAGGCGGCGGCAGCTCATGCAGCTGGGGTGGGTCGTGCACCCCCTCACGATCTTCGACCTCTACAATGCCGTCCGCAGCGGGAGCGCTCGCCTCCTTGTGTCCAAGCTCCTGAGCTCCTTCGACCCAGACGCCGCGCGCCGCGCGTCCTTCCGGGGCTCCTCTCTGAGGCCAGCGCGGGCGCCCTCCCGCGCAGCTGGTGGCGAGGACCCCGACGGCTGGCTCCCAGACGACGCGGAGGGCGATGCCGCCGAGGACCCGGACATGCCAGGGGTGCTCGGCATCCGCCACGATCCCCGGGCAACGCTGCAAGCCAGGGCCGCCCTCGCCGCCGCAGGCTGCCAGGCCAGCGGGTCTGGATCCGCGGCGGAGGTCCAGGCAGCGGGAGGGCCCGAGCGATAGGATTGCTCGGCGCCAAGGTCGACCCCTGTAGCGCCCAGTGGCGCTGCAACGCGGACTTGAAGCTGGTGCTCGGCGGCGCCCCACCGCAGAACACCGCGACAGATATAGCACGGCCGACCACAGAGCTACTACCAGCGTCGGAGCATGTTCGTGATGAGTGCGGCCGCGAGGGTGAAACCAGGACGATTTCGACGCAGTCATATCTTCCACGGTCGAGCAGCGCTTCCAGGCCGACGGCGCGCCATCTTCTGCAGCTCAGTCGCCAGGCATTCGGCGGTCGTTTGCCTCGTGAGAGACGAGATCACGTCGAAGTGTCGACTAGAATGGAGCTCAGGAGATTGGGCTCAACTATCATCTGCATCCCTGCTGCGATGTCTCCGCTTGTGGAGTCGTAGATACTCGGATGCACCGGATGCCTCGGCACTCTCTACGGCCCTGAGTGCGCGTTCAGTGTGGCAGGATGGCCGAGGTAGCACCCAAAAAGCGACAAGTATTATTGTCGTCTATAATGCTAGCATGATATCTTCAGCGTCTGTGTGCGATCCGCCTTCGCCTTACTGCCGAAAACTCAGCATTCGGTGTTGAATCGGCAGGGACGTTCGTTCCGATACCATGTCATAAGTTGTGCTCTTGGGTTGTAGCCCTTCCAATCGGGTGTTGGGAGAACTCTTACCCAGACGAGTCGATTTCGAAATTCTGTCTCTGCCACTCGCTATTCGGATTAGCAATGTACCCGGGCAGTCCCCTTCAGATTTCCCTAGTCGACGTTTATTTTGTCAGATGCATTCGGTAGCTGTTGGACGTCGGTCAGCTAACCTAGACGCTTCGCGTAACCCCACCTGCCCATCCAGAAATGATACCGGAGAAACGCCCCAACCATAATCTTGTTAGGGCTGTAGGGCCATAGGGCTATATGGGTTTAAGGGCTATTGGGCTATAGGGTAATAGAGCTACAGGGCTATAGGGTATAGGGGTATAGGGCTATAGAACTATAGGGCTATACGGCTATAGGGCTATTGGGCCATTGAGCTATAGGGTTATAGGGCTATAGAGCTATAGAGCTGTGGGGCTATAGGGCTATAGGGCTATTGGGCTATAGGGCTATAGGGCACCCCCGGGCCCCTAGGCACCCCCGGGCACGCCCGGGCACACGGGCACCCCCGGGCACCCGGGCACCCGGGCGTGCAGCGAAAATCGGCGGCAAACCTAATCTAACCATCTGAATTCGCTAGGACCCCTACAGGGGCAAGCTCTGATTGGGGAAAGATGCCCAGACGAGTTGCCTTGATCAGGGATGTGGAGGAGCATGTAGTGGAATAAGGGCTGGGTCAGACGTCGTACCAAAAGCGAGAGGATGGAGACGCAGGAGAAGGATGAGGAGGAGGAGGAGGAGGAGGAGGGAGACGGGGAGGGGGAGGAGAGAGTAGGGGAGGAGGAAGGAGGAGGAACAGGCAGAGGAGGAGGTCCAAATGTGGAGGCAGAGTGCGGCTTGTTTTGTTTTTTGACAGGGATGGTGGGGGGCGGGTCGGCATGGTGTCGGCATGGTGTCGGGTTGGCCTCCGGTCGCCTGGGGGAGGGGCTGTACCGTAACAAGGAACAGTGATCTAGACGCCTTCCCCGCCCGCGAGCCGTCTCGCTCACTGCCACCCGCCCTCCCAACACATAAGTAGCACCCGAGCCGCAGCGTGTTCAGCGGTAGTCTTTGCATGGACAGCTAATGCGAACGAAAACAGTCCTGTGTGCGCAACGTTGGGGCGAGGCGCGCCTGGCGTGCCAGGGGCGCCACGCGCGCCAGGTGCGCAAGGCACCCCTGTGGCCCACGCGTGCAGGGCACGCCTGTTGCGCCAGGTGCGCCACGCGTTTCACGTGCGCTATGTGTGCCGCACGCTCCAGCCGCGCTAGGTGCGCCACGTTCGAGGCACGGGCAGATTCTGCCATGTGCGCCTGAGCACCTGGCAGTACACATCGGGAAACGTGTCGGTCCCCACCACCCTTGTCGAAAACCAGTGCACAATCGCGGCGGGATGGCAATCATGGCGTCTGGTGGGCCTGCACGTAGCAGGCAATATGCCAGCGCCCCCGCAGTCCCAGCCAAATGCCAAGGCACACTGATCTTGAAGTTCCCGCGCATGCCCCAGATTTTGTGTCGAAGTGCATCCTGTATTGTGTTTGACATTGATGCTGGACCTACGCGCATCAGGCAATATTATGCGGGCCCCCCCGCCGACCCTGTCAACAAAAAACAAGTGCTCGCGCCCCCCAGATCACGACAGACGATTTGGAGTGGACTGTTCATTGTATTTTGACAGTGATGGTGGGGGGGGGGGACCCTCGTTGGTCCGTTGGCTGCCAGGCGCCCGGGGGAAGGGGTGTTTCACAGGGAACGGTGATGAAACCCTACCCGAAGGGGAAGAAGGAGGGTTGGACGAGGAGACCTCCTAAGCCACTCACGCCCAAAAGGGCTGGGGGGATTCTGCCTGGGTCCACTCGGGATGCGGTGCCGTGTGCACGTGGAGTGCCCTTGGCAGTTGTTCCCAAGGGGCGGTTTGCCAAAGGGTGTTCTGTCAAGTCTCGGTGTAATCGTGGTGGATGCTTCCTCGAACCAGTTCTCCTCGATCCTCCCCTCCTTGACCCAAGGCTGGACCGCCATCTCACGGCCGAGGTGGACCTCACGATCTCGTAGGCTCAGAGGGGCCCTGCGCGAAAGGCCTCGCATCCTCGAGGCCCTAGCATTTAACCGGGCATGCTATTTGATACTTGCAGCACAACCGTAGTTCCAGTCACGGAAAAAGCGATTTCTGCAGCTGCTGGCAGTGGAGGGCTTCCACCCCCCCCAAAGAAAAAACAGGGGGTGGGTCTGGAACCCCATTCTCCCCGCCTCCCTGGGAAAATTAGTGAGGGGGGTCCGGAAACCTCCTCCCCCGGAAATATAAGTTAGTGAGGGGGTCCAGAAGGTTTCCCCCACCCCCCTTGGTCCGAACCCCCCCCCGGAAAATCACGACGAACGACGACGACGACGACGACGACGCCGACGCCGACGCCGTCGTCGTCGCCGCCGCCGACGACGACGACGAAGACGAAGACGACGACGACGACGACGACGACGACGACGACGACGACGACGACGACGACGACGCCGAGGACGACGACGGCAGCTGTGGCGACGACATCGACGACGACGACGACGAGCAGAGTGGCGTAGGCGAAGAGTAGAGTGCAATAGGAGTATAGTAGGGGGTAAAGTAGAGTGGAGTAGAGTAGAGTCGGGTGGGATACGGTAGGGTAGAGTACCCAATACATAGCAGGGTGGAGTAGAGCAGATTAGAGTAGAGTAGAGTAGAGCGGAGTGGAGTAGAGTAGAGTAGAATATGGAGGCATGGATCGCATATGGAGTACGTAGAGAAGGAGTCGAGTAGAGATGAGTAGATGGGTAGAGTAGAGCAGAAATTCCAACATAATCACCCTACGGGTGATAAGGCGGTTGGGGGTGGGAAGGGGGAGGCGGTCGATTTGCGATGGCTCTGGGTTCCTTGGTGGTTGCTTCCGCTGTCCATATCGCGCACATCTTCCCATCGAGACAACCATCGGGACAACCATTGGGACAACCATCGGGACAACCACCAGGACAAGCATCGGGACACTCATCGGGACAACCGTCGGGACAACACCATCGAAACAACCATCGGGGCAACCAACAGGACAACCATCGGGACAACCATCGGGACAACCATTGGGACAACCATCGGGACAACCATCTGGAAAACCATCTGGACAACCATCGGGACAACCATCGGGACCACCATCGGGACAACCATCGGGACAATCATAAGGACAACCATCGGGGACAACCACCAGGACAACCATCGGGACAACCAGGCGGACAACCATCGGGACAACCATCGGGACCACCATCGGGGCAACCGTCGGGACAACCATCGGGACAACCATCGGGACAACCATGGGGACAACCATCGGGACAACCATCGGGACAACCAGGGGGACAACCATGGGGACAACCGTCGGGACAACCATCGGGACAATCATAAGGACAACTAGCCCATCGGGACAACCATCGGGACAACCATCAGGGCAACCATCGGGATAACCATCGGGACAACAATCGGGAAAACCGTCGAGGCAACCGTCGGTATAACCGTCGGGACACTCATCGGGACAACCATCAGGACAACCATCGGGACAACCATCGGGACAACCAGGGGGACAACCATCGGGACAACCATCGGGACAACCATCGGGACAACACCATCGGAACAACCATCGGGGCAACCATCGGGACAACCATCGGGACAACCATCAGGACAACCGTCGGGACAACCATCGGGACAACCACCAGGACAACCATCGGGACAACCGTCGGGACAACCGTCGGGACAACACCATCGAAACAACCATCGGGGCAACCACCAGGACAACCATCGGGACAACCATCGGGACAACCATCGGGACAACCATCGGGACAACCATCTGGACACCACCATCGGGACACCACCATCGCGACACCATCGGGACAACACCATCGGGACAACCATCGTGACCACCATCGGGACAACCATCTGGACAACCACAAGGACAACCACAAGGACAACCATCGGGGGCCGCGCCCGGCCGGGGGGGCGGGGGGCGGGCGACCTTTTGGTTTCAACGCGGCCTGTACATGTGTCGACCATTTGGGCTCCATGCGGCCCCTACAAGTGCAGGAACTCGCGCAGCTTCGCCTCGCCTGCACATACGGCCCAAACCGAAACCGAAACCGAGTTCCCAGCTGGGGCAACTTCTGTTCACACCTCCCAACCTCCGATAGTAGAGCAGAGCATAACAGAGTAGGAGTAGAGTAGAATGGAGCAGAGTGGAGTATGCGTAGAGTAGAATTTAGTAGAGTTGGAGAACAGGAGAGTAGTGCAAAGTATGTCAGGAACAGTTGGTGCAGTAGAGAATAATAGAGTATGACAGGGTCGAATTAAGGAGAGTAGAGTAGAGTAGAGTAGAGTAGAGTAGACAAGGAGTACGGTAAAGTAGAGTAAGAACATCGTGGATTAGAGAGAAGTGCGTTAGGATACGGTAGGGTAGAGTAGAACAGGGTCTGGCAACTAGAACTGAGCAGAGAAGAGTATATTGCTAGAGGACCGCAAAGATAGAGTAGAGCTGAGTAGACCAGAGTAGGAGTAGGAGTAAGAGTCAAGCTAGCCAGCTCGAGCGAGTCAAGCATGGCATGCCCAGTCCCACCCGCCCTCCCACAACATAAGAAGCAAAGCTGGCACAACTGGGGGCCGAAGTCACACCGGCCAGCCGGTTTGGTACAGCTGATGCGGCCGCGATGGCGGTTGCCGACGGGAACTGGCGAGCGCGTGTTGAATGCCGCGCACGCATTGCCAGACGAGTCGAGAATGGCCCGGTACACCGCAGGAAGCCAGAGGTGGCCGGAGGAAGCCCGACGGTCTGACAGGACACCCCAAAGCATTTTTGTGAAAAAGCATTGGGTTTTTGATGTTTTTATGTTGAAATGCTTGCAAACACACGGTGTTCGGTAGGATTCTGACATGAACGCGCGAGTGTGCTCTTTGTGGTATTTTTTGCACAGGATTCGCGGCCTGGGTGCATGACAGAGCATCGCGAGTGCACCGCGCGATGACGTGAAATCGCTGGATTTGACAGAATTTTTAAGATTCCTATGGTTTTCCTATGATTTCAGCAAGAGAGCCCGGGCGGGAAATTTGTACAATTTTTGTAAAAAAGCATTGGGTTTTTGATGTTTTTATGTTGAGATGCTTGCAAACACACGGTGTTCGGTAGGATTCTGACATGAACGCGCGCGTGTGCTCTTTGTGGTATTTTTTGCAACGGATTATCGCCGTGGACGACAGGACGTCCATGTCGAGAGGAAAAAATAAGAAAAATGTTGGTTTTGTATTGTTTTTTACAGGTTAGGATGGGACCACCCGGATGCGCCCGCTATCTGCCGGCCTGAGGGGGGAGTAGGAGTATATTCTAATAAGGAATAAGGATAGGAGCAGGAGCAGGAGTACGAGTATAGTCAAGCTGGCCAGCTCGAGCGAGCCAAGCATGGCATGCCCATTCCCACCTGCCCTCCCACAACTTAAGAAACAGTGCTGGCGCAACTGGGGACCGAAATCAGATCGGCAATATGGTTTGCCACAATTGATGCAGCCGCGATGGCGGTTACAGATGGGACATCCCTGGCGTGTCTCAAAGGCTGCGCCAGCATTCCAGCACGAGCTAAGGGGGCCCCAGGAAGCTTCAGGAGGTCCCAGGAGGCCTCAGGAGGCCCCAGGAGGTCGCAGGAAACCCCAGCAAACGCCAAGAAGCCCCAGGAGGCTTCAGGAGGGCCCAGGAAGCCCCAGGAGGTTGCAGGAGGCTTCAGGAAGCCTTAGGAAGTGTCAGGAAGCCCCGGGGAACTCCAGGAAGCCCCAGGATGCTTCAGGAGGCCCCAGGAGGATCCACGAGGCCTTGGGGAAGCCCCAGGATGTTCCAGGAGACCTTGGGAGGCCCCAGGGGGCCCTAGGCTCTCGACGCATTGGCGAGCGAAGAATGTCCGCCACGCCCTAGCGGGAGCGCAATTTTCAGAAAAAATGCCCGCGGCGCCAAAGCGAGAGCGACATTTCGCTTTGTCGCGCGCGATGTGCACCGCGCACCAGTCCCGCCACGCATTTCGCAAAGCCGACGACAAGAAATTCCTCGGTGAGAAGGAACATGTCGACTATGCATTGGTTTCTGTCCGGTTGGATGGCCCCTCCCGCTTGGGTCGGGAGCGGCCAAGAGTGGGGTGAGGACTAGGGGGGGTGCGTATCATGATTCAGTTCATGATGAAACTCGAAGCTAAACAACCATAATTTTCGCTTGCGCCCGCTGTGTAAGATCGTTGTGCCCACGCAGTCGGCAGGCACATTTCACCAGTGACGTAATCCGAACTTACCGCGTTGCAGCAAATGTTCGTTATTATTGCGTTCCGTTGCACCGTGGTTCCGAGCGCCCCGTGGCTCGCGGCTCCATGGCCCAGTGGCGGCCCGTGATTTCTCGGTACTCTGGCCCGTGACCCCAATGGCCGCTTGTTCCCGCGATGCCGCGGCTCGCGGCGCCGCGGCGCATTTGCGACGGGGCCGATCGCGAAAACCTTGCGGTGCCCAGTGGTGGCGCTCAATCCACTCGTTGGCCCCGAGTTTCGAGAGAACACATGACGCTGGCCATAGCATTCCCATATAATGCATGGCACGGACACGAGTTTGCCGGGAACACCTGGCAACGGCCATGAGTTCCTAGAGAACGCATGACATTGGCCATGAAATCCCCAGAAACCAAATTGCACGGACACGAGTTCGCCAGGAACGCATGGCAACGACCATGGGTTCCGAGAGAACATAACATTTCCCATAAGATTCCCAGATTGCACATGGCACGGACACGAGTTTGCCAGGAACACCTGGCACTGGCCAGGAGTTCCGCGAGAATGCATGCCAAGATCCAGAAATCCCCCTTGCGCCCCAGAGTCACAATCAAAAATGATATCAAATCCCTATGGGATTCGCGTGGGCATGAGTTCTGCGAAAACAGATAGCCAGGTCACGCGGTTCAACGACGCACAGGCGCATTTTTCAGATTCCCCCCCTTCCTCGCCCCCATCCCGCCTTCCCCTCCTGCCCCCCCATCTCCTGTCGCTTCCCCCCCCCTCCCAGGCTGCCTCCTCGTTCCCGTGGCCCCTGGGGTGCTTCATGGCCCATGGCGTGCGGCCCGTTGCTCATGGCCCGTGGCCTGCTGCCCATGGGCTGTTGCCCGTGCCCAGTTGCCCAGTGGCCGTGGCCCCTGGCCCGTGATTTGGTGCCATTGCCTGGGCCGTTGAGTCCAGTGGGTGCCCCGCGGCAGGTATCTGGTAACGCGCGTCGTCATGGCTACGAAATGCTAGGGATATGAGGGCCCCGGGGTTTGCGAAGACACGATTAGGTCGGGTGGATGGCACGTCCAATCACGCCTCGTTGATCGACCTATGCGCGCGCGTTTTGAATTCAGTTCGTAGCGAGTGGCCTCTGGTTGTGCTGCGATCGTCGTGCATTAGCGTAGCTTGCGACTGGGCCGCAATCTGGCTGGCTGGCTTTGGTTCTGAGCCGATGATTCTGGCGGTCAGCGGGCTTCTACGATATCCGATTGCGTTCGCGCGTGCGTAGCCCTGCGAGCTGTGCGCAGCACTTGCGTCGAGCCATAATACCTCCCCCCCTCTTCGTCACCCCCCTCTTTGTCGCCCCCGATTGGGGTTGCCCCAGACGTCCGCGCGCGACACGCGACGCGTCCCGTTCATGCCACGTATTTCGCATCGTCGACGACAAGACAGGCCGCGTTGAGAAGAACAACTGAGACTTTGTATTGATTTTCGACGGTCAGGATGGGATCCCCCGGATGAACTTAATACCGGCCGGAAAGAGGGGGAGTATGAATATACATTCATAAAGAATTCTGATATAATCGAGTAGAGCAAGAGCAAAGTGGAGTAGAGTAGATTACGTCAGGGTGCGCTAGGGTAGAGTAGGGTATAGTAGAATAGGGCAGAGTCGAGTAGAGCACAAGAACGTAGAGTAGAATTGGCTAGAGTAGGGTAGAATACGGTAAGGCCTAGTAGGATGTTGAGAGAGCTGGGTCGAGCCCTAGTAGCATTCTATCAAAAACCCGCGCTCGGCGCGGACGCTGGCGACATGTGCGCCGCCGCCGCTGGTGGCGTCGTCGTCGTCGTCGTCGTCGTCGTCGTCGTCGTCGTCGTCGTCGTCGTCGTCGTCGTCGTCATCGTTGCCAGGGAGGGGAGGGGTTTTGGACCCCCCAATGATTCTGGGGAGGGGGAAACCCCCACTAACTTTCCCATGAGGGGGGCAGGGGTTCCGGACCCCCGAGGCTATTCCAGGGTGGAGGGGGTCCCAGACGCGATGCGAATCTGACCCCTTCCCCCCCGGGCCCCCCCCCCCGCCGGGGTAGGGACAGAGGGAATGGGCTTCCTTATGATTTCTGACGGAATGAGGACGTGGAAGGGATTCCCTCACGCTGCGAGCCCGTTCCCCGAACGAGGAACGGTGCTCTCTATCTCTTTCCCTGGTGGGAGAGGAGGATGGGAAGGAGGGGACGACAGAAGGCTCCCCGTCGACGGGACCGGACAGACACCCCACACACGCCGACAGGGTCGGCGGATTCTCAGCATCGTCGCCATCGCCACCACCACTCGTTGCAATCATTCGGGCTCCAGCAGCTGAAAGTTTACAGGTGCATGTACATTTGAAGTTACACGCCGGCCTCAGCCATGTCGCATGGACATGGGCCTACGCAGGAAAGTCAGCCACTGTTGCGCTGCACCGTCCTCGGGGAACACATCGTCCGCGCGGTCAATGGCAAATCGGCGACGGGAACCCCGACCACGTGCGCGAGTTCGTGCGCGGACAGCGAAGGGGACACGGAGAGGCTCCTCGTGAGCGGGGGCGACGACCGCACGGTCCTTGATTTGATCAGCGGGACGAACAGCTACCACTGCGAGCCCCGACCGATCGGGCGGGGCGATGTCAGCCGGAGCAGCTGCACATGCAACCCGCCCACCGCCGAGGGCCACGCTGCCGCTCGGTCGCTCATCGAGGACCGCTTTGCTGCCCCGCTGGCGTGCGAGGACGACGCCAGCCTCGCGGCCGAGGTCGCCAAGGTGCACGAGGAGCACAGGGCGCAGCTGCGTCTCCTGCTGCGCCTGCCCGAGGGCACGGAGTTGGCCTTCTGCCCCTCTGGCAGCGACGCGGAGTTCGTCCCGCTCATGATCGCGGCGGCCCTGGCTCCCGGGCGGCGCGTCGTCAACATCTTGACGCAGCACCGCGAGACTGGCTCGGGAACAGGTGCGGCCGCCGCGGGCCGCTTCTTCACCCAGAGCACCCCCCTGGCTGGCGAGAACCCCGCGAGGCAGAAGGATCTTCTCATTGCTGGCCTGTCCGCGGGCGTGACGACGCGGGTGGTGCCAGCTCGCCACCGCGACGGCTCGCCCGTGGACACAGCAGCGGCGGTCGCGGAGTTGCAGCAGCAGGCCGATCAGGCGGGCGACTACGTCATCACTCACGTGGTCGCCGAAGGCAAGACTGGTCTCCAGGACGCACACATGCCAGAGACGCGAGGCGCTGGTACCGGCAGCCTGGCGGTGGTGGACGCTTGCCAGGTCCGTTGCGGAGTGGATGACATATCCAGATGGTTGACTGGTGGAGCTGTGGTGCTGATCACGGGGTCCAAGTTCTACCAGGGACCTCCCTTTTCTGGCTGCGTGTTGGTACCATCAGCAGTGGCAGGTAGCTTGAAGGCCGCGGCCAGCGCTGGCGCTGTTTTGCCGCCGACGTGCCTCGACCACGTGGAGGGCCTCGGCGCCTTCTTCTCGAGCACCGAGCTGCCGCCCTGCCTCTGCAGGCTGGCCCCCGGGCTGCCGTCGAAGCCAAACTTGGGCCTGGCGCTGCGGTGGCGCGCCGCGCTCGCCAACATGGCCCCCTTGCTGCTCCGCTTCCCGGCTGACGAGGTTCGGGAGTCCGGCGTGAGGGCTTGGGAAGCCGCGGTCGTGTCCACGGTGCACGAGCTGGGCCGAGGGGTGTTGGAGGTCTGGAGCGCCCGTGGCGGGATCGTCAGCATCCGCGTGCGCCGCCAGGCGGCCGGCCCGGCCGGAGGCTCCGACTGCGAGCCCGCGTGGCTCGGTGTGGCGGAGCTGCGGCGCTTGTTCGGCTGGTGCGCGTGCGACGCGACGGCGATGCTGCCACCCATCGCAGACGCCGAGTGCGCACAGCTGTGCTCGAGACGGTGCTTCTTGGGCCAGCCAGTGGACGTGGCCGACTCGTTCGCCGTGATTCGCATCGCGCTGGGCGCCAAGGATCTGGAGCGATGGCTCTCCGACGACGCTTCGCCCGACAACGGGGGCAGAGGCAGCGCGGTGCTGAAGGAGGACCGGGTCTGCGTGCAGAAGCTGGCCCTCCTCGCGGCGAATTTCGCCACGGCGGCCGCGGCCGAGGATGCGGCGGTGTCGAGGTCTTCGTCATGAGGCCTGGACTGGCGACGTGGCAGAGCTTGCTGGCGACGTGAGGCATGGGCTGGCGACGATGCACCAGGCATGTCAGGGGTAACGATAGGAGGGAATAGGCATAGCGGGGATGCATCAACCCCCAATCGTCCACTCATCGCCGAAAGGGGCCAGATCGCCCCACCCCGCCCAGGAACGTTGGGACTCGCTCTCGGGCGCCAATCGCCGATCTATCAGCAATATATCACAGATTCCAGGTCGACGTTTCCCCCCTCTATGCCAGTCCCCCTATCGTTGCTTCTCAGCATGGGCTGGCGATAGAATGCCAGCAATCATCGTGTCGTCTCTCCCCTTCGCCCCGCCATCTCATGATCTTTATCCTGTCTCCCAGCAGGTCACCCTTGGTGTCCTCATTCCGCGTGCTTGCCCGAGGTCCGCTGCGAGCGCTTCCGCTCGATGGGCGCGGCTTGTGGCCAGTTAGGCCGCTGAGGCGACGGGAGCCCAAACTGGGCTTCTGTTCTGGGAGTGGACTCGAGTTCACTTTCCAAGTCGCCAGGCCTCGAATGCGGACGGCCGCGTGCGGCTTTTCAAAAATATATGTCCCCGCTGCACTTGATGTCGGCACGGCAATGCGGGCCGAGGCCGTCTCGTCGGGCGCTCTGGCATGAAGTCAATACACAATTTTCCAGAGAACAAGCATAAGAGCCCCGCTCTTAGTTTTGTTGGGGCTCACAGGAGTCGCCGCGGTTCAATCATGCCGCGCGGTTTTTAAACGAACTGCTTGGTCGGGAGTGTTTTCAGCGGCTCCCAGGCGTCACCGCGGCTCATGTGCCGCGTGCGCCTTTTGAAGGAATGCTTGATCACAGTTGCGCCCTCCGCGCGAAAGCAGCACCATCGTCGTCGCCGTTACGGTTGCCACTGTCATCATTATCCAGTTGCTTGCGGCAAATCTTGCCACCATACCAGCGCAGCGTCGAAGTGCATGCTAGACTGTTGCGTTGAGTCCTCTCGAGGTGGCTCTGTGCAATCATGGTTGCACAGGGCCCCCGCGTGTTTGCAGGGTGTCTTTTGTGGCAGCCGTGGGCGCGATGATTCTGCCTCGCGGAGAAGATCCCCCCAAACAGTGCCCTCACTTACGATGTTCCAACCTACTTTCTCCTCGGCCACCAAAAAGAATTTCGAGCATAAAAAATTACCGAAACGTGAAGATGTTCACGTGTCGGGCCCTGGGAGACACTCGTCCGACACTGTCTCGGCACTGTTTCGACACTGTTCTTATAATTTTCTGGGTGCTCGAAATCATTCCTGGGAAGTTGTTCTCAAGTACGACGGGAACAACATAAGCCTGCACTGCAGTCGGCCCGGATTAGTCGGTCGACCCTGCCAGCTCAAGGGTACCCTTGTGTCTTGTGCCTCGCGACACGTGCCTTCTCACACTCCTATGGCGATGTGGCCCTCCTAAGGGTCTTCTGTCCTCTCGCGTGTCCTGTCCAATCAAGGCCGACTGTAAGGCGGGTGCTCTCTTTAGTGGTGAGGCACTGGCCGGGAGTTTGGTTTCTCGCCTGCTGGGCGCCCGTGGGAGCCCCGTGCTGCTTGTGGGGGCTCCGGGGGCTTCCGCGTGCCCGGCGCCCGTGGGCACCTCGTCTCGTGAGGTGCTCGCCCCGCCGGCGCCCGTTGGGCGACCTCGCGGGCGCCTCTGTCGCCGGCTGGGAGCTCCAGGCTCTCGGCTGCCCCGGGTGCCCCGTGGGCGCTTCGTGCCCAGCTGGGAGCTCCGAGCTCGCGCACGGCGGGCGCCTCGTGGGCGCTCCGTGCTGGCCGGGAGTTCCAGGTGTGCGCCCGGCGGGCGCCTCGTGGGCGCCTCGTGGGCGCTCCGTGCTGGCTGGAAGGTCTGGGTCTTCGCTCACTGGGCGCCTCGTGGCCGACACATCGTTGGCGCCACATGGCTTCACACACAGAGTTTCCGCCACGAGGCTTCCACCACATGGTCTGCACTGCGTTGCTTTCAGAACGCGTATTGCACCACACAGCTTGCGCAACACCAGTTGCACCACACCAAATAGCTTCCACCACATAGTTTGCACCACAGCGCGCACACCCATAATGCACAGACTCACTGTTTAGGGTCCACGCTGGCAAGCGTCAGGTATAGCCATGGTACCATGGTGGTGCCTTTCTGGCAGCCGCGCTACGATGTAGCGTGGCGCGGCCATAGCGGTGCACGGTCGTTGCTCTGCTTGCTGTGCATTTTTCTGGGGGTTATTTGAGGCTTCTTGGAGGCCCCTTGGGGCACCCTCGGGAGCCTCTGTGGCTTCTGTGTCTCTGGGGTGATTGCCAGAGGTCTTCGGGGCTGTTTTGGGGACGCGGAGGTTTGTCGAGCTCCCCCAAAGAGGCTCGGCAGGACCATCATGAGGCTGTCCGGCTGGACCTTGGGGTCTAGATGCGTTCTTGGGGTCTCGGGCCGTCTTGACGGGCCATACTAGTGTTTCTTGACGCCCATTCGCCCGTCCTGAGGCCCGCTGGAGCTTTCCTGAAGCCAGCCTGGGCTGAAGAGCGTGAGAATCAAAGAGGCATTGAACAGCAGTTGGGTGTCTCATTCTGCTGGTTTGCTTCCCCGTAGGAATTCTTTAGTCCGCGCATGGGAAGTGGATCCATATGGCCCGCTCCGTCTGTTTTGGGTTGTGCCAGTGCACGGTCTTCGCTGTCCCGATGGAGCTTGTGGCCATATCTATGGATTCCTGCGGCTATCCCACTGGATAGCTTGCTTGTTCGGCTGTCAGAATGGCACTCTTGGCTATCCCAGAAGACGCCTTTGCCATCCAAATAATTTTGCTTGCTCGTTTGCTTGCTTGCGTTCAATGGAGTCCACTGGATCTCAATGGAGACCTGTCTATTCCAATGGAGACTATTGAAGTCCTACGGAGTCCAAGGGAGACCAATGGAGCCCAATCAAGTCCAATCGAGTCCATTCGGGTCCCATCGGGTCCAATGGAGTATGGAGTCCAATGAAGCAGGTATCCCAACAGAGTGCAATGGAGGCCTTTGGAGTCCACTCCTGGTAGCTGTCCACCGCTTATTCCCTCAGATTAGTTATGTTTGCAGCCAACGCTGGCAGAACTGCTCCCGGCCTCACTGAGAGCATCCCCTGGTCCCTGCAATAGCCAGACATGCGATGCCTCTGCCTGTCTCACAGGCGGCCTCCAGAAGTCCCGACCCTTTCCCCAGGGCCAGCTCTCCCTCCCGAGTCACTGACAGCCAACCCGCACAGAGAGGATGGGCAAGCTTCCCCAGGGTACCCCTGCATCCTCGCCTCCTCGGTCCATCCTTGGCCACCTTCGTGGGCCGCGCCCCGCTCGAGAAGCTTCGAAGTGGGCGCCCGAGGCCCCTGCACCCTTCTCGTGCCTCCTCGTGACACCGGTCGGCTCCATGACGGTCCCGAGGGCCGCCGGGGGCCGGCGACGGCCACGAGGAAACCTCCCGTCGCGATCCCCACGACGCGAGCGCGCCGGGGACCTCTTGGGGAGGCCTGCGCTCCTCGGGCTGGCCTCTGCAGGTGCCTCCTGTGCGGCTGGCAGTGGCCGGGCGCCGAGGAGAGCGCCGTGGCGAAGAGGATCCGCCCCAGATCTCCGACGAGGCGTTTTTTTGTGTTCGATCTGGGCGCCCCTCCCCCCCAGACATGCTCGTGGCGTCGCTCGGAAGTGTGCACTTTGTCTCGGCGGGGATTGTTGAGGAGCATCCTGGAGCATCCTGCGGAAAAACCACGCACGGAACCGAAAAATAAGCACAGGGGATGGGCGTCCGAGCGATGGCCAGGTGCTGCGCCAAGGGGGACGAGCAGAGGCATCAGCATACAAGCTCGGGGGTCCGCCCGGACCTTCGAGCGTTCTTCTGTTTAGGTTACTCCTCCCCCTCCTCCTCCTCCTTCTCCTCCTCCTCCTTCTCCTCCTCCTCCTGCTTTTCCTCCTCCTCCTCCTCCTCCTCCTCCTCCTCCTCCTGCCCACTACTTCGTTGTAGATTGCCAGACGTCACAGCAGGAGAGGCCGCATTTCATGGCCATGGATCCGTGCAGCATTCCTTTGCCATTCCATTGCCATTTGAGGTCTCTTTGTTGCGCTGAGACCTTGCCGGGGGATGGAGGCCGGGCTGGCGAGGCTGCTCCACGACGTCGGGCAGGCGCTGACCACCGCCTTCGTCGTCCGGGCCTCGGTGGCCGACTGCCCGGATTGCTGGTGCAGTCCGGCCTTGCACTGCCCAGCGCTGCAGTGCACGTGCCCCAGCGGCGAGGGCACCCTGGCGGCCGCCGCCACCCCGGGGTGCCCCGGGTCCCAGCTGGCCTGGGTGGCTGGCCTCTCGCTGCTCCTGGGCGCCGTGCTCGGGGCCGCGGCCGTCTCGTGGGCCTTGCGGCCTCGCCCGAGGGCGCTGGCGGCGCCCGCCGCGGCGCCCGTGGAGGCGGACAGCGCGCCGGCGGGCGACGACCTCGCGCACCTCGCGCTGGAGCAGGCAAAGGCCTTCCGCAGGACGCCGGGTGCCGCCGCCTATTGAAGATGGCTGCTGGGCCGTTGGCTGGAGGCTTCCACCTGACCAGGTATCGAGTGGGAGGCCCCGCTCTGTATCATGAGCGACTGGACATATTTCGCTCAGGGTACGTGATGACCCCGGACTTCGACGATTACGGCGAGACCACGAACCCAGACGCGGACGTGATGGAGATCCACTTCGTGCACGGGCAGGGCGGCAGGGCTGGAGGCATCCCGGAGAACCGGGTCTACAGGTTTCGCCGCTTGCCCACGGCGGCCGAGATCTGGAGCGCCCTCCGCCGCGGGGCAGCGCTGGGGTACGGGCCGTTGCCCGCTGGGCCCTTCCTCCTCACGCTGTCCGCGGTGAACTGTGCAGGCGCGCCGGCGGGCAGCATACCGCTGGCGGACCCGGCGATCGCGGGCCCCCCGCCGGGCGGCGTGGCCGGAGCTTACCCCGCGGCAGCGGTCCCAGGCGTGCTGGCGCTTCCTGGGGCGGCCCCGCCAGCCCCACCGGCGGCCGCGGCCGCGCCAGCGCCGGCAGCCGCGGCCCCAGCCGCCGTGGCCCCCGCCCCCGGGGCGGCCGCTGCTCCAGCGGGTCGGGCGCCGGCGGTGCCAGACACCGCGGCGGTTGCGCCGCAGCCGAGCGGGGAGCCCGCGCCAGGCTGGCACTGGGTGGCCGCCGAGGACGTCGACGGCGCCGTGACGTTCGGCACGAAGGTGGCCGTCGGGGTGCCGGGCGGAGCGACCCTCGTGGGCCGCGCGGGGCGCCGCGGGCTTCTCACGCTCGCCGGCGGCGCCGGAGCCAGCGCGGTGCTGCGGCAGGACAGCGAGATCCCGTGGTTCACGCAGGAGTACCGCGGGAGCGACGCGCGCACGCTCGAGATCCCTCCAGGAGCCGGGCAGCCAGGCGGCAACTCTCGGGAGTGGCGCGAGGTGGTGCAGCTCTGCCGCGAGGAAACCGTCCCGGGGTTTGGCGTAGCCCCGCCGAGGACGGCGCAGTGGTGTGCCAAGTACCAGGTGAAGGAGGGGGGCCCGGTCCTCCATCATGAGATGTGGAAGTCAAAGCGCAAGCTGAACCCAACCGACTTCGGGGTGGACATGCACGAGACGATCTCCAAGATGATCGAGGCCATGGGCTCGGCCGACCACCTGGACGTCTACAACTTGGCGAGCGCGGAGCTCGGCTACAGGAAGCTCCAGCTCATCGAGCACTACTGGGACGACAGGAGCGCGGAGCAGCAGCAGCACAACATGCGGATGCCCTTGGAGGAGGCCTTCGCATTCATGGGAGGTTCGAGGTCTCCCTCGATGGTGCGCCCCGAGCTGCTCGATTCGGTGTCGAAGGAGCTGGAGCGGATCCACAGCATCAAGAAGAACGCGAGGAAGCTGAGGGAGGAGCAGAAGGCCAACAAGGGCGGCCGGGACGCTCCTCACCCGAAGTCATGATGCTGGGCCCGCCCCCGGGACTGCCTCGACCCGGGGGCAATGCAGAAGAGGTGGTGGGCGGAGGCGACGACCACATGCAGCGGTCGCTCCTGCCCTTGCCAGTCCCTGACTGGCGTCGCGCGCAGGCTGCTGCCGGCGGCGGCGGCGGTCGCGCAGCGCGGCGTCGCCGCGCC